CCTCACATTTTTAATATCTTCTGAGTTTCATTCCAAAAACATAAAGCTAAAAAAACTGGGACTTGGTCCTTATTTTTCTGCCTCAATTCTAATCCTCCCAAGAGGAAAATGTTGAGTAAGAATGGGAATGAGTGTGTTTTGAGAAGAAAATGAGAATAAAGGCTCATGCCTGTTGCCAGTTGCACCTTTGTAGCCTTTCTGACTTCAGGCCAGCATCTGGGAAAACAGATTTTTGTACAAGAAGAAATTTTTGTCCCTTCTGCTTTTTCACACCTGTGTAATCAGAATCTCATTCACTAAGCTCTGAGCATTTTTAAGAGTGGGGGGAGGAAAAAAGAAACCTCTGCAATCTGCTTGATCCTTCATTCAACACCAGCCTACTAAACAAACACCTGACCTGATTGGTATCACAACAGCGACCTTGGGTGTACTGTTCTTTTGAAAGATTCTTAAAGGTTCTTTTAAGATGCTGATTTTCAGTGAATTCTTTTTATTCGGGGGGGCAGACAACACCCAACGGAATAGTGCTTTTGTCAACTTCTAGTCATTCAAAAGCTGAAAAGCTTTACATTATGTTTAATGTTTGTATGTTGACTTTGAAGAGCTACCATAGTACAAAAATGCTAAATGTTATGACCTAGGCATCTATCTACAGATCTGTGTTACTTCTAGCTCTTACCTTTTTCTTGCAGAAAGCCTGAAATGAACAAAACAGGAACTGTAGCACTTTCACAAAACTCATGCTTAAACCTCACGTCGTGTCAGAGCTGTTGATCATACTCTGTACCATAGATAGTACTGCCATGCAGGAGTAACTGGTGCCTGTAGAGCCATCCTGGTGCAGGGAGGGCCACCCAGATGGGCAGCAAGGATATGAATGGGCAATCAGGTGCCCAACGGACAGGCACGGGTGCCCAAAAGCAGGAAGGCTGGACCAGAGTGGGCTAGGAGCTGGCAACAGCCCTGCGGGAGGTGGTAGCCAAGTGGGGCTAGGAGCCAACCTAACATTTAACTGGTTAACTGATTCATTGGGATTTTGCATCCCTAATGGGCAAGGGGGATATGGAGCTAACCTGTTTGGCAATAAAAATTTTTGGTAGGGGCTAGTGGAGCAGTGCACCTCCCGTGTGCTCCCATAAAGTTCCCTGTGCTACCATGAATGCAGGAGACAAGGATAGATGACCTCTCAAGATCCCTTTTAGTCCTTTGATTCTGTTCCATTATTCTATTTGTGGGAGAGTTTGATGATAGAGCGGCCTGATCTGGTGAATCACTGGAGATTAACTACATGAACTAGGTGCAATCACACAAATAGTACTTGGGTTCAGCGTGAAAACAGTAATTCATTGTCCTCAGCTGGTACAACACTAGGAGTCACCTTTCAGAACAAGACAGCCTAAAATACACCTGGATCTGCTCCAGTCCTACAGACAGAGACAAACACCTACAAGATCTTTATCAGGTGTTCTTAAAACTTTAATACCCACCTGGGGAAGTGAGGGAACAGATTTGACAAAGCCAGACAAGTACTCAGAAGGCATCTACTTCAAGACAGGCCCAGTGAAGAAAATAACAGCACACCAATTAGCCAGTTAACCTGTTTAAGCCCCAGCACATCAACAATCTACAGCCCTCACTCTCACAGGCCTTGGAAGACAGGCCAATCCTCACCTGCAGACAACCACCTAACCTGAAGCAAATGCTTACCAGCAGCAGCACACCCTGCCACAGTTATACTTACCCAGGAACCTACTCCTGCAACATACCCCATTGCCAACTTTCTCCACATACAAGCAACACAATCACATGACCTAATTACATAAGCTACAACATCAGGGGCTTACAAAACCACATCCTGTAATGTGATGTATGTCATTAAGTGCCTGCAATGCCTCTCTACCATGCATATTGATCAAACTGGACAGTCTCTGTGATAAAGGATACAAATCAGACATCAGGAATGGTAACACACAAAAACCTGAAGGGAAACTTTTTAACCTCCCTGGACATTCAATAATGAATTTAAAAGTAGCCATTCTTCTACAAAGGGATTTTATTACTCAAATCCAGAGGGAAACTGCTAAACTGGAATTCATTTACAAGTTTAACACTGTCAACTTGTGCTTGAATAAATATGTTAACTGGTTAATGCTCTACAAAGGCAATTTCCTATACCTTTGATATTTTCTTTTACACATCAAAAGCTATGAATGAGATGCATCTAGCCTGACTCAATTAGCGTCATTAACACTGGGCCTGCAATTGAGAGGTAACTGCTTTTGTTGTTGCATATACGCTATGTCTACACTTACACTGTAGAAAACTCCAGCACATCTGCCCTTCCAATTCTTTTTGTGGAAGAGCAGACGCACTCTTTTTGAAGCCCTGTCTTCCTCCTTCCATGAGAGTGTAGATGGGCCAAATTTTGGAAAAGCCTCTTCTGAAAAAACTATCGGAAATTGGTACCTTTTTCCAATAGATCATTGTAGTCTAGACACAGCCATACTCTGGATTCTGTAATTTCCACTCTAACCCATCTGATGAAGTGGTTTTTGCTATACTAACAATTTCATCACTGGACCCAATGACATCAGCCACCAAATCAAAAGCTTTTTTAACTGCCCATCCACTAATGTGCATCTGATGCCAGCAATGCCCCACTGCAATGTATATTGGCCAAACTGGACAATCTCTACAGGAAAGAATTAATGGGCACAAATCAGATATCCGAAAAGGCAACACACAAAAACCTGTTGGAGAACACTTTGGTCTTCCTGGACACTCATTAATGGATCTTCAGGTTGTCGTTTTGTTTCAGACCAATTCCACAAGCCAAATACACAGAGAAAGATTGGAACTTAACTTCATTCATGAGTTTCTTATGCTAATGATCTAACTAGGGATACTGGATAGCTCACACACTATCTTCCACCTTTTAATAACTTAACCAACCAGCCAAACAATGGAGGTGCTAATGGTTCTTAACAGATTCCTGTAACTACTTGAACTATCTACTCATCATTTACATGTTTTGTTAGTCTTTGAAGTGCTATTAGACTACTTGTTGTTTTTTAAGTTTTTTCATGATATCTTTGTTAGTCTCTAAAATGTTAGAGGTCTCCTTGTTGTTTTTAATGTCACCCAATGAAATTTTCCCACGAATACGTCCTATACTTAATTGGATTTTACCCCATATGGTTTTCCGTTATATAATAAAAGCTAGCTGCCTCCCAGAGCAGCAAGTTACAAATAGGTTGAAAGGTGAGGAGGATGGGGAAAGTTGCATGAGCACTCCACTACCTAGGAGGAAGGTGGTCTAAGAGATGGCTAGCACAGTATCCATCATTCATGACTTTGCCACAGTTAAAGCTAGGGGGAAATTGTTTGAAGAATTGGATGTAGAGTAGAATAAACTTATTATTGTACATAAATAATATAGAAAAATATAGATAAATGTTTGACTTCATAATTTTTTTCAATATGTAATTCAGACTTAGGCCCTTCTCTCCCATTAGCCTTAGGCCCCTCATAACCTTAATCTGGCTCTGATCCCATGCATCAAGAATCTATGTAACTTGACCCTTGCTCTACACAGCTAATTAAGAGTGTGGCCAAACATGTGAAATGGATGTGACAGTGAGTGTATTTGAAATTTCCAAACAAAGATGGAATGAATGTGAAAAGACTTAGTGGACTTCTGTTCCCTCTGTGTCTTGATTCCAGACAATCAATGGGATTGTACATTCTTTGGGGTTGCAGCTGCCGTGGTACCACTTCTCCCTCAGTGTGCTTGTTGAACGAGGTACCTTGGGGTTCTGCCTAAATGAAAGCAAGTGCATCAGTTACTGCTGCCTTACTGTCAGCATTTAACAAATAATAGTATTGGTCTCCTAAGTGTGACTGGTTTGTCTAGATGTAAATCATACAGCAAACACTTTTCAGAGTTAAATTTGATGGAAAACAGGTTGCAGCATAACTACTCTTTCCATATATAAATGATATTTTTCTTAGTGTGACATGAACTAGCTCCCTTATGTTCTCACCATTCCTGGCAGGGTGCTACTACCCCTCTTCTGATTGGACATATCCAAGTAATATTTGTATCAGAGGCAGCAGTACTGCAGGAGGGAAGGAGGGCCAGTGGGAGCCAGAACATCCAGGGAGCTGGCTTAAAAACCAGTTCCCCACGCGCACCAGCTTTCAGAGAACCACCTTCCCTCCCCTGCATGTAACCATATAACTGCTGAAATTTTCAGCGGTTACACATTTACTTGATTAAATGCATTTTAACATCCCTAATATATATTTAGTTTTAACGAAAGTACATCGCCATATCTTAAGACAGTGCCTCTTTCTTTTTTTTTTTTTTTTTTTACCATTTTGTCATAATCTCTGGTCCTCAATTTCTGTCTTGTTTAAAACCCTTTGGCCTTGCTTTCCTCTTCAAAGGTAAACATATTATAAATGTTTGGTATTAAACCTTTTGTAAATACAGTCATTTCCTATAATAACAGAATTCCCAATACAAGCCAGATAAATGCACTAGACAAGAATTTTACCTACACACCTCCCAAAAATAATTAGTCTATAAAAGGCTTTTAATATTTTTTTAAACCACCTTGGTTCTCAGTGCTAATAATTGTTAGATATTAATTCCAGCTGGAAATGAGCTGAAACTGGACTTTGGCTTTAGTTTTGGATACTCATATTGGTTATGTTATGGGAAAACAAACAGGTATAGTTTGATTTAAGATTCTGTTTGGTGAAAACTACTCAAACTTCTGGGGAGGGATGGAAGGGGAATTTCACATAAAAGGTTCTGATAGATATCATTCCATTTGTTATTTTGGAATGTTGGTTTTGTGGACTTGTTCATATTCTTCACATAGTAATATTTTATAGTTTCTTTAGTAATAGCATTCAGTTGTACAGTACATCCTAAAAATGTGAAATGGGTGGAATTTTCACCTGAATATTCTTTTTTCTCTTTCTTCTCTCAGATTGTAAACCTTATAGAAGAAACTGGACACTTTCATATCACAAACACAACCTTTGACTTTGACCTTTGCTCACTGGACAAAACCACAGTCCGTAAACTACAGAGTTACCTGGAAACGTCTGGAACATCCTGAGGACACAGCATCTGGCTGCATCAAAAACTGTTTTTTAATAAAACATTCTAAACGATGCAACCAAAATGGAAGAAAAATAAACCAACCCTCTGCAGCTTTATTTTTCTTTAAAGCTAGTCGTCATCTCTTGATATAGGAGAGGAAAAGTGACAAGACTCAGAGGATCGCTCTTCTCACCAAGGAAATGCTCTGGAAGAGTTAGCCTGGATAGCCTTGAAAACAAAAAAACAAAAACCCACAGAAAAACTTGTTCTTAATGAATGTGTATGGTATCGTGCATCTCTCTGTGGTGTTCCAGTCCACAAGATGAATGCATGTTCAACACACTGCCTTATTACATATCTGATCTATTTATTGTTGCATACATATATTCTAAAGTCATTGAGGGAATGACACTACCAGATGTTACAAGTACTCGGGTTCCATGTATGCTCCTTCCATGCAGCACCATCACACGCCTAGTAACATTACTCAAGTAAAAATGCCACTTACTGTTGACTTTTTCTAGTCACTTAAAACACTGTAGTCTTGTTTCCACTTTCGCAGTCCCAGGAAACAAGGTACAAAATGGGAGACCAAAAAGTGGCCCTAATATTTGTCTCCAGTCTGCCACAGTGGGTTGGTCCACAGGTCCTTGGCTTTATCCATTTATTGATCTTGGACCATGATAAAAATGCACCAAATAGGATCATATGACTTGCTGTCTAGCCTTAGTCAATAAACCAGTAGGACTTGTAACAAAAAAGTGTTACTGTATACTGTCCTGAATCCAGCGTTGTTTGTCATCAACATTCTTGTGTCTGTTTTAATGTTATAATAATAGATATATATAAAAGTGAAGGTGTTCTACAGGATCACCATAAAAAGAGGAATGCTGGTCCTGTTTTCTAAGGAAATGTTGTAGAAAATTCTTAATTTGGAGCTATTTATTATGGCGAGTTTGGATACTATTCTGATGCCAGTGTGACTCACCTTTACCGTAAATACTGTTGGCATAATATTTTTGTTTGTTCATACAATATATGGTCTGCTTAGACTTTTGTTTTTTTACATCTGATAAATTAAAATCCTTTCTTTGAAAAAATACCTTTGTTGTTATACGGTCACATGTTGGAATGAATATCTACATAGATACATCGATTTTTAAAGGTACCAAATTTCTGTCCCTGTTGAGTAATCTGCTTGTGTTTCCAGAAGGATTGCTTATCTGTAAAGATAAATGCTCTTCCGTATATATTTCCTTAAAATAAGAAATCTTTCTCATACATGTGCAAACCAGAGAATTTACAAATACTTTGAAAGCAGTACTCTGTGGTCTCATGATGATGATTTTCATTATGAAACCGTCACCCTAATCCTGATGAAATGGGAACACAATTAAGAAATACTTCTGGATCCAAAGGTTTGGTCAGCCTTAAAAAAACATGTTTGCAGAGAGGCTAGTATATTTCCCAGGTATGCTTACATGCCAGATGCAGTCTATTCATACACAGTTAAACAACAGTAGTATCTATATGTCTTTATTGTTTCATGTACATGATTTTGTGCGTGACAGTAAAACTAGATTCTTGTTTGGATTATTTTTTCATATTCATATGAGAACACTTGTTTCTTTAAGTCCAAAGAAAATTGTATATTTTATTTTGGAGTTTTTTTGGTTATTTAAATTGCATAATGTTGTTTAACCATGCTCCAATGGAAAGTCCCTTTCCGGCTTCCAAAAGAACAAGTGTACTTTTTTCAGTAATGTTATGACTCTTACTGATGATTGGCATGAAACATACTTGAAACGTTATGATGTTAAGTCCATGTCTCAATGTGCAATTGTTGGGGGAAACATCTTTAAAAAGCTTTTGCAGGATGATGATGGAAGAGAGGAAGTAGTATGTTGGGGGGGTTAATTTTGATTTTTGTCTACTTTTTATATGAAAACGTTTTGAAATCTAAAAGCAATCTTTAGAAAAGTCTTTGAACTAATAGTGCACATTGAATTTAGATGACATGTTTAGTTAAATCAGGTGCATGAGGAGGCTGGTCCATTTTGACTTTTCTAACTAAATTTTGTGGTAAATACTCTTGAGCTTCAGGCGGGCAAGAAAGCCCAATTTTATTCTGGCATGAATTGAATACTCTGCTCCTTTAAATAACCAGTGAAATAAGTCACTTTCCCAATAGAAATATTAGCCAAGCTCTTTTGTACATGTGAATAGGGGTGGAAGGGGTGGGAAGTAAATATAAAAGGGAGATGGTTGCAATAACAATATAGCTTTAGCGCTGACTTTCATGTAAGTCCTTGATCATCTTTAAATAAAATCTTAGTGCTTTAATTTGATTACAGTGGGAGGAGGGAGAGAAATAAGCAGACTTCAACTGAATTTTGTCTGTGTTAACTGTAAAGTGAGTTTTCCACAAAATTCTGATAAAATAAGAGTCACTAAGTGTTGATCTCTTTGAAAAAACAACAACAACAAGTTTTACATTAGCTATTTTCATCCAGTTTTGTATGGAGAAACAAAATAAATCTTTTGCAATCATTTCAAATAGTCATTTCTCTTACAAGAAAAATCATAAGAATCGTATCTAAATCCACCACATTTATGAGCATTGATCTTTGGAACAAGTTAAAACATTTTCATATATTCACTCTTACAACAGCTACATTGGTTTTTAAGTACAAAGGAATAAAAGGTTTGACATTTCATTTAATGCCATCCTATTTCAAATCAATTTAACTGAATGAATTTAGATAATGGAATATGTTGACCAGACAAATTAGCAGCAAGCCATATTTTAATACTCAAACTAGCTGAAATCTGTAATTAGAGAGTATCAATTGTATATAATGGAAAGCACAGCTTCATTCTTGAAACTAGCTAAATGTTCACCTCAGGAATTGGATATCCATGTAGGATAACATTTTAACAGACGATTAGGTCTCTTGAGAGGACTTCAACTTCCCCTAAATTTGAAAGGTGTCTTAATCCATCTTAACACAAGAGTAGACTTCTTACAAAATAGACCTATATTTTGTAACACAAGCCGTGGTAAATGGTTTGAGCAAAAATAAGTAGAATTAATTGAGAATGAAAGGTAAAGAATGAAATGACTAAATTTGTGCTATGTCAGTAACAGTCTTTGAATTGTATGAGGTAATCAAGTTATTTTCCTCAGTGAATTTGTGCCTTTTTATTTATGTATGCATATCTACCCTTTTAAATCCAGAAGTAAAGTAAATATAGTACTTGTGGTTGGAGAGACCTAATTAATATTTTATTAACACTTCGTAAGAGAAAAGAGACTTAAGATAGATGTTAGTTTTTCATTATGAAGTACATGGCAGTCTATTTCAGGTCAGTGAAAAGTATAATTATCTGGATTTCTACATTAGTGTTCTGACCTCTTGAAATGTCTCATAAATTTGAAACCCTATTACCTGGAGCTTGCAGAGCTGATGGGAAAGTAGTTAGAGGTCTATAAAGGAACGTGTCCTTTTCTTTGTCATGTGTGTTATCTCATCCAAGTAATGTCTGGAGTAGGATGTTTCATTTGCTCTTGCGTTATATTTCTTTGTTCCATCTGGATTACTTTTCAATCTTCCATCGTTTGCCTGCATTTTAACTGTATGAATCATATCTTTCAGCACACTTGTATATTGGTCAACTGATTTCCACAGTTTGACGCTAAACTGAAGTTGACTTAAATCCCACTTCAAATTATGTCAGTCACTTGTGGCTGCTCCATCCAATCGCTACTTATGGGACATTGAGACACTTGATTTTAAATCAGAAAGACCAAGGTGCTATCAAAAGTGTAAATATGTATTTTGGCACTTCTACTACAATAAACAGAAATAGAAGCTCATGATGGAAATGCTGACAGGCCATTAAACGTGGCAGGTGCTACCAGACATTCTAAAAAGAAGTAATGTAAAACTTATTCTAAAGATGAACAAATACAAGACCGATGTCTTTCTGCACCTCACCAGTTTTCCTAATACAGGCAGTCCCCGGGTTACATGGATCCGACTTACATCGGATCCCTACTTACAAACAGGGTGAGGCAACCCCGCACTAGCTGCTTCCCCCCCCGTAGACCAGGGAGATGCGAAGCTAGCGTCCCCCCTCCCCCCCCAGAAGACCAGGGAGACGTGGAGCTGCTTTTCTTAGCAGACACCTCAGCTTGAGAATAAAGGACTGAGGCAAGTGAGGTGTGGGAGAATAAAACTGAGCTCTGGAGAAATGTTTGGCTAGAGTTTCCCCTACAATATGTACCAGTTCCGACTTACATACAAATTCAACTTAAGAACAAAACTACAGTCCCTATCTTGTACGTAACCCGGGGACTGCCTGTAGTTAAATAGTATATAGTGTACTCCATGAAGGTTTTTCTTGGCTGTTTTATCAATAATTCCTTAGCACAGACTATTCATGGGTTCCCATTTCCCAGTGCTGGACCTGGAAAATTTGCTCTTGGGCATGAACAGATTAAGAAAGTCTAGTGGATAATGGGATTCCCAACTCATATTTCTAAAGTATTTATGTGGGTGCATGTGACTTAACCAATGCATTAGTGCAGTTAGAACAAGTAAGTTTACAAGGCTGTTCCTGCGAATGAGAGAGAGCAAACAAATTTACATCAAAGCACAATTATACAAAGGACCTGCATTTACTTGAGCAGAGAGAAGTGCCAGAGTGACTAGACAGGAAGGAGAAATATTACCACAATGAGAACAGTGCTCTCTCAGTTTTGATTTTTTAAAAACCACAAAGTTGAATATAATTCCTTACATTAATGAAGAAAACACTGTGTGCTGATCTGCACTTAGATTTTGTTTCATATGAACAAGATGCAATATTCAGGATGGAGGCTCTTCAGTGCTTTATTGGTATAATTGGGTTGTTAACCTTCGGGTTCTGTGTGTTCAGTGTATAGTAGTTGGATACAAATATCTGAGTTACCATGAAATGGATTTGAGACACTAATAGCGGATTAGGATTCTTGGTGAGAAATATATCTAATCTAGTTGCTCTTTCTGCATCTGATTCATTCTTCCATAAAGAAATACCTGTGCATTTTAGTTTCTTTTTTTTTTTTCAGCATGAAGACGGCCAAGTGAAATGCTGATCTGTGAACACAATAGGAGATGCATTTTCATCATGACTAGGATAGCTGAAGCTGGAACTCTCCTGCTCTTGGATGTGTCTTCAGATTAGTCATGCGTTTTCCTATGTTCTTTCACCCAACCTGTGCTGTAAAGCTGGTCCTTCCATTAACATACTATACCCTCATCTCTTATAAGAATATGGGATAATTTTTTACCTTTCCCTATTGTTACTGGATGCAAACAGAATTCAAGGTCTGTGTCTAGGAAATAGTAGATCTCTTAAGTTGTCAATTATATGTTTCTGTGAAGACCTAGAAGTAAAGCTCATTTCCACCAAAGGGGAAAGAGAGAGATTCTAAAACATTTTCTCCACAATTTTTCCCTTTGATCAATTTTGAAAAGTTTCTAAAGGCTGCGAAAGGGTATTCATGCAAACCATTAAGAAATGAAATGAAAGGTAATAGATAACACAAATGAATTGTACTAAAAGCCCAGCTGTGCAAGTACTAAGGTTATAATGGTGATACTGATTTCAGTGCAGGAAAGGCATTCCTAGCACATGTGGTTTGTGTATCCGTGTCTGAGTGGGTGGTCTAGAAAAAAAAAGTGCTAAATACAGCAAGATGGCTTAATTTTTTTAAGCAGTGGAGGGAGACCTTCATAACAAGCTCAGCCAGTGTCATCCAATGCTCTCCAGGATAAAGCAGCTTTCCATTAGCTTTGTACTTGGAGGCTAAGCCATAACTTTTCTTATTAATTTAAATATTTGAGTCTCTATTCTGCACAATATCAATGACATGGCAGGGATTTAGTGCTGTGGTTTTCCAGAGTGCTATTTTGGGAGGAATTAGTAACATGGAATGTAGAATATTTTCAGTATACTCTGATGCATTTTCTCAGTTTTTAGTCTTAAGTGTCTCCTTAAGAGTTGTTACTTTAGGTATAGCATGAAAACATTTATTAGCACAATTCATTAACAAAAGGTGAATTGCAATTAAACTTTTTTGGAAGTACATAGTTACCAGTGTGAGTGCTATATCAAATACTGGCATGCAGTGACAAGCACAGCCTGATATTTTGTAGATTCCTTTGCAAAATATCACAAGGAGCGACTCCTAGTTGCTTTTGCATATTATCTAGGAATTCTTTTGAGAGCAGGGTATCTCATTGAAATGTGTCTCTGGTACACAGGCTGAGCTCTTTTGTAAAGAAGTTTGGTCTTGTGTTGGGGGCTAGGTATTCTCTCATGGCCAATGGAATAAGGATCACAGCCCACACTCAGTTTGTTCTTGCTCTGTATTACTCCAGGACTGAATCTTTTTCCCAGCAAGTTAGCTGAGTAAGTTTCTGTACTTTGGCTTTCACCAGAGCAACCTGCACCAAAACCCAAACCAGCACTGACAGACTATATCACACCAAGGACCATGTTACCTCTGGTATCGACAGAAAGACACCAAAGCCATTTGAACAGAATACCATGGCCTCTCCAAATCTGCTTTAGGAGCTCCTTTGTAACTACATCAGTAGCAAGAACCATATTTTGATACAAAGCCATCTCCTTGGTACTGGCCAAGACTACATCCAGGTAGTTTGAAGGCTCTCTACATTGGTATCTATGCATTGCATGCTGCCCAAAGATCTTTCACTGGTGCCAGTACTATACTCACCTCTCATTGAGGGGCTATGGAAGGTCATTATCAAACCTCCTACAACATTGATAGCACAGCAACACAGGCCTAACAGAGCTACCCCTGTGTTTGAAGAGTGTATTTATTTTCCTCCTCAGAAGGACAAAGCAGTTTCCTTCCTGTTTGTGCCACTTCGCCCGTATGGGTGACACAGTGGAAGTGTGGCAGAGTCAAGGAATGAAACCTTGAGGGATACCAGAAGACCATCACAGAATCCCACACATAGTACTCAGCTCAATGTTTTGTTTCCACACCCTGCCTCTCAGCTGTGACTGTACTGGTCCCGCTGAAAACCTATATCTTTGACAGTGTCTCAAGCCAGATTCCCACCCAAGACACAATTACAGCCATCTCAGTCTCTGTTCTGTCCCAGACTGTTTTGGAGGAATACAATAGGGCCTATCATTGTTCTGATCCACAGCATAATGTACTTCTCTCATGAGTATGTACAGACATGCCACAGTGATGCATGATGCCCATAGACATACAACAGCAGAGCCTAGTCCTTTCCATCCTACCAGGAAGTCCTACATCTCTAGGATTGGTGTTCCTGTCTTCAGATCACATTGGTAGCCTCTACTTCTTCCTGGCATGCAGAATGCCATGGTAGACCAGTTCAGCAGAGACTACTGAAATCATTCTTTCATGGCATCATTCACAGATGTGTTTCCACAAGTGAGCCTGTTCATGAGATGTCACTGCAGCCGCCAGAGCTTTTGTTCCAATGAAAACATAAACCCAAGTTTTAAAAGATGCCTTTTTCATTCTTGTGCACTCCAGCTCTTTCCTCTGATACGTGTGGAACCATGCTGAGGAAACGGAAGCAACACCTTGACAACATCATCTTTAGGACAGACATTAGCTACAAAGCTTTTGACCAGACTCGCATACAAGGCCAAATGAAAAGAAGATTGTGTCTGGCCAGTCCAACAACTATTCTCATCATTCACAGCTCCAATTTTTGCCATATTGGACAATTATACTTTTTCCTGAAGCAATCAGGATTGTCCCTAAGATCAATGAGCTTCTGGCAGTAATCTGTTAGTCATTCTTCCACCCAAGACCAGTCTGCTCATGTCTCAGGGTACAGGATAGAGTTGTCATAAGACCTCAAACAAAGTTTCTGCCTGAGGGTATTGCCAGCGTTCACAATCACACCACAGTCCTGGTTTTCCTTCCTAATCCCCATTTTATCTTGACCGGAATAAAATTTCACATTCAACAAATCAAGAGAGCATTATCTCTCTTAATTAACTAGCCATTCTGTGCAACCTAGCTCTATTATGGTGTTTGCTGAAAGAATTAAGGGACAACTCATATTAGTCCTGGAGGTTATGCAAGTGGGTATCAGGCAGTACTGAGACTTGCTGAAGTTTGACTAATATCCTTCTAGACACATTAGGGTTGATTTAATTAGGGTTCAAGTGGTCTGTTCAGTCTGAGTAGCTTTCCCACATCAGAGAGTTGCAGAGCAGCAACAGGAAGCTCAATCCTACTTGTACTGTTCTTCATAGCTACACAACTTCCTCAACCCATCCTTCGCCCCTGCTAGTTGGATCCCCATTTTACAGGATGCTTGTGGGTGAAAGAATGTCTTTCCTGTCGATACCTAGTGTGCCATGGAAATGCACCAGTGTGGATTGCAACTACTCAGTCTCCATGGCCTCATCTATGGGGAAGTGATAGGATAGCCAGGGGGCAGTATCACCACAGCTCACTCTGCAACTCAAAAGAATCCAGTCTGACACATGATAAGGTGCATGCACTGCAGGAGAGGAATCTGTGTGGACAACACATCCTGAAGAATCCCATTGACTGTAGGGATAGTAACCATTGTTTCTTAGCTCTGCAACTGGTTTCCTGAGACACCTTGGACAAGACTTTTAATCTCTATAGCCTCCATTCCTCATATGTAATATGACACTACTACTACTTTTCTCTCATCCTTTGTCACTCTTCTCTATGGGAATGCAAGCTGTTAAGGGAAGGGTGGGCAAGAAGCAGCCTCCAGGCTGAAGGCAATTCATAGGTTCACTGGCAGGCCATTGCATGCTTTGTTTAC